AGAGAGAGAGAGAGAGAGAGAGAGAGAGAGAGAGAGAGAGAGAAAGAAAGGAAGGAAAGAAGGGGGAGAGACAGAGAGAATTTGATACATTTTTTATATGTTTGATATTGTTACATTATATATATTTATTATATAAATATACAGTGTGTCTCAAAATTGTAACACACCAACTCCATAGGGACGTAGAGCTAAGCGAGAGGATCAGAAAAATGAGCGATCCATTTAGCGATAACGCGTCTAGTTTGTTAATAACAATCGCGTAAAATTGGAGGATCGAGCGAGCCCGCTGAAGACGAGCGAAGCTTGATCGTAATGTAAGGAGGATGTCGTTCAAAGAGATTACAATGAAACAACATGTAGTAGCGCTAGGTAGTACGAGATGTCACCACAAATCTTTAGCTTACCGACCCAAAACCGACGGCGCTGTTGTCGCTATCCATCATCTTGATCCTCTATGATTGCCGATCTTCATATTGTTCAAAGTTGCAACTGATCGAGGGTGGGTCAGATGTAAGAGCGCGGAATGATTTCCCACGTCACAACTTTTGCTATTGGGATGGGTTTTTAATTTCTTCGAACGACACCCTCCTCATAATTATGATCGAACGAGCCCGCCGAAGGCGGTGATCCTCCAATTGTGTATCGGGTGTCTTTCTTCGAGATTACAGTGAAACAACATGTAGATCTTTAGAGCTGTGGATTGTTCTCACTGTGATAGAATTTAAAGTCCTTGAAGTCAATGTATAAGAACAGAAAACCATAATTGATTTTCATAGAAAGGGTACAGACAGATGTTAATCAGTCAAAGATACTTATTCTTTAACTAGAGAGATATGAATATAATAAAAAAAAAAAACAAATATGTCGATTATGACAAATTATAAGAGCGTTTTCGTACAAAAATAAAAAACAATAAGTGTTTACGCTTATTGTAATACGGACGCGGCGAACAAAGTATTCTGTGAAATAATTGGACGATTATAAAATTTATCAAAAACCTTAAAACGTTGGGATCACCCCGCGATATTTTTAATAACCGATATATCCATATCCTTCTTGGCAGCGACCGATGTGGCCACGTGGCGAATACTATGCGGCGCAAATTCTACTCTTATGCCGCCGCTAATTAAGAAAGTACGCAACCAACGACTAATTGTATCTTTCGAAGCCGCGCGAAACAGTTTAACCGTGGTCAAAATCAATGTCTGAGTGTCACCTCGGACCGAAGACGTTATAATTAAATATTGTTGTAATATACTTACAATACATAGCGCAGGTTTTTCCGTAAACCGTGGTAGAATAAGAAGCGATTGACTAGCATCTGGACGTGTGGTTTTTATACAAGCCGAAATCTTGATTTCATAACCATTTTTGATTTCGTGAATATCTGACATTTTTATGGCAGCGAACGTTTGTCGACGATATGCCGTGATCAACGCTAACAATATAACTAAACGCTGTGTTAATTGTGACAGAGACAGAGTTTCCAGTGGATACAACGATTCTATTCGGTCCAGAATCGGCTCAAGATCATAGGTGCGGTCGTATTTTGGTTTTGCTGGACGCTGATTGAAGCAGCCTTTGAGTAAACGTGAAATCCAAAGGTCTCGTTCAATCTGTTCCCCTAATATGAAAGCTAGTGCAGATCGGTACATGTTTAAGGTACCGTACTCCTGTTGCAAATTTTTGCATGAGAAAACGAATCACCTGTCCAGTATTCTGTTCCAAAGGATTTGTGTTAGATTGAGCACAGAAAGCTATCCATTCTGCCAAAGGTTTCTGATATTGTTTCCACGTCGACTCTGTTATAGAGGCTTTAATGAACGTCACGGCGTCTCGCGAGATATTCGCTTGCTCAAGGGCGCGTATGATAATACCGCTGCTACCATGCATAATTTCCGTGCCAGGGGATGTTGGATTGTCCTGCAAGGCGATAATAATAAATCGAGTGCCGGTTACAAAATTAAAGTGTCAGACACCCGCATGAAATTCCAAAGTGGATACCATGGCTGAGATGGCCAGTCCCGAACTACGACAATGCCGCAGGCCTGATTTACACCGATCTTTTGAATGACTTTCAAAATGACGAAGAATGGTGGAAACGTGTAAAAATAATAGTGTGCATTGACACAAAAAAGCATCAATATTGACCGCTTCCGGATCTCACTCGCGTGATATATATTGCGAACATTTTTTGTTGATGCGTGATGCAAATAAGTCAATCTCGGAATTCCCAAACCGTGCCACGATCTTTTGATACGCGTCCGGATTTAACTCCCATTCTGTGTCAATATTGCAGACGCGGGATGCCGCATCCGTTTCAATATTTTCTTTAGAAGGAATATAAGAGGCATGAATCCAAAGAAAACGCTTCTCGTACCATTGCCATATAGTTCTAGCAATTTCGTTAAGCTTGGGGAAACGTATTCTTTCCATGCGATTTACGTATGCTATAGCTGGCGCATCAATTTTTAATAAAATCTCACATCTAGATAGGTCGGAAGCAAAATATTTAAGGCCGAAAAAGGCTGCAATAAGCTCTAAATAGTTGATATGTTCGGTTCGCTCGGATGTCTAAAAACCTCGCGTCACCTGATCGTTACATGCCGCGCTCCATCCAGTCGTAGATACATCAGAATATATAACTCGACTAAAATTATTTAGTCGAATAGGATTACTAGACTGGAGAATATAATTCTGCCACCAAGTAAAATCGTCCTTTAATGACGCTAGCAAAATCATAAGCTATCAAACTTGTTATCAGTCAAAAGTAAGGCTATGGATTTTTGTCGCTCAAAAAGTTTTTGGTATACCCAACCGTAATTCACAGCCGGACATGCTGCTGTTAAGATACCGACGAATCTTGCAAAATCTTTAATTTGACATTCAATTAATTTACAAACTGAGTGACTAGCGACAATATGGTCTCCTTTTTAGTCCGCGGAAGTTCCATGATTATGCGTGACGAGTCAAAAACAAAACCGAAATATTTACAACTAGTTGCAGATTCTAACTGACTCTTCCTTTCGTTAATAACAAATCCTAAAGATGCCAAAAGGCTGCAAGTTGTGTCAACGTTCTTTTTACAACCGTCAT